TTAGGTGCAGCTCTTTGAGGCATAAGATTTGTAGGAGTTCATTAAAAAGAAAAAGAAAACAACCTCAGATCTGTTTCTGTATACAGTAAGGCTTTTAATGGCAGCCAGATGAATTCTAGACAAACTGCACAAATTTATTGCTTTTTGGTGTGGAATGAATTGGCAAGGAAGAGAGTCATAACTGTCATAAGGGAAATTGCTGAAGCAAATTTCATTAAAATATACATGTGCTTCTTTGTGAAAGGACTTGAATTGCACAAAATGAGTACTGTTGAGTGTTTTACTGTTAAGGGAAAATATATTCTGTTTGTTAAAGGCAGTCAGTTTAGTAAAAACAAGGCTGGACTGTTATAATAATTTCTGTTAGTTTAATATTGGAAGCTACTAATGGCATTGAGCCTGGAGCAGCACTGAACTTAATTCAGGAATTATGTATCTCGTGCAGTCTGCTTTTGAACTACATATAAAAAAGGTTAGAGTTCTACATTTGTAAGATTAAGAGGTTAGCAACCCTGTGTCTACTTCTAAAGTGTTTTTTCCCTTTGTCCTTTGTGTTTGTGAAACAACATTTTGATGAGATTTGGGGTTTTGGCTGGGAGAGAAGGGGCAGGAAAATCCATTTCGGTCTGCTTTTTTCTGGATCTAGCTCATGCCTTTTATGGAAACTTATAGAGTTGTTGCTAGAAGTTTTGAACTTTTCTGACTGGTCTAAGAAACCAAAATTATATCAAATGAATTGTGAACTAAAACATTTGCTGTTTATGAATTCCTTAGAACAGTGTTTCTCAACACAGGCTGGGGAATGCTGAGAATTGAAGTCTATACTTTAAGAAGTATGGACTCCAGAAGTCACTAAGGTTGAGAAACACTCAACTGCCTTAGAACAAATACATTGAATTGTTGGTTTTCAAAACTCTTTTAATTAAGCCAGTTTCTGTATATGGAGAGAGATATTTCAGTTGGAGTAGATAAACGTTTTATAGGATACATATAATTAAGATTATATCCACCTGGCATAATTTTCATTATTTTTGTGCCCCTGAAATCTTACAAATCAACCCAAAGTTGATTTTTCTAGCATTTTTACTAGAACAAGCAGGATATACAATCACCAAATAGTTCTTTCTGAAATTACTCTGAGGTTCAAAAGATGGTTTCTGAAAAGATATTCTATTTCATCCACTGCTGGCATCATAGAGTACAAAACTCCATTGCTCCATGCAATAGAAAAAGAAATAAGCAACCATCAGTTAGTTCCCCTGTTTATATTTTCAGTATATGCTCAATGCATGTTAACCAATCTTGTAAGAAGGGAGAGCTGTCTTCTGTTTCTTTTTTAAAATCTTAGCTAGCTGAGATTCTGAAAAGATAATGGCATTATTACTACTTAATATAGTTACTTAAAGATGCATGGACTTAAAGTCTCAGAATTTCACATCCAACCTTTCTGGCTGTGGAATTCTGGGAGTTGAAGTTCATGAATTATAAAGTTGCCAAGATTGAAAAAAGATATTTTTCATAGACGTTCCAGCCATGATTCCTGATTGCAGTGTAGAACTTCTGGGTCTACATGATGGTGGAGAAAGGAATAGTTATCCAGATTGGATGAGGCAATGATATGCTATTTATTTATAACAAAGAAATCATGCTGTGCTGATTTTTTTCCAGAGAGGTAACAAAGCTAACTAGAAGGATTTTAATTGGGCTGCCTCAATTCATAACATAATTAGAATGCAGTAGATGCATTGGTTGTGTGCAGGAACTGGGAGGCACAATTCACTGATAAGCCCCATGATTGCAATTCCCATTTCCCACTCCAGTTTCAGGATAGAGAGAGATAAGCCATCTCATAATCGAAGTAAGCAGATATCATGGGGAAGGACAATTCAGAACTTGAAGCAGCAGATATTGTAGCATGTGGAGAGGTCCTGCTCTTTTTTCAATGCTTTTCTGGGTTCAGATTCAGGTACTGTGCCCAAAATGTATGTGCCTATTGTGTATTTGTGAATAAAGGACCTATATTTAAATAGCTGCTTTTCTCAATCAAACATATGAATCAGAGGAAAAAATCTTTTCCCAACTCTTCTGCTTTTGATTTTCCCAACAAAAACTGCTTTAAATAGCTGTGTCATTCACAATAGAGGTAAAGCATTGGTATTATATTACCATTCAGGTGTTGTTTGACCTCATGACTCTAACACTGGCATTGCTTAATTAAAAGTAAACATGCTAAATTTAGCATGCTCAAGTTGAATTGAACTGAATGTTCTGCTGGCCATTATCTGTGACAAGAAAACAAACCTTTTGTATGGCTTTTGTTAATGAATGAATACATTTGGGGCATTAATGTCATGTTAGCCTACTTGAAGAGCAAAAATGGGTATACAAACTATGCAATTGTCAAACCAATTATCCATACTATGTGTAAAGATGTTGTTTCCTTTTTTTTCTAGACAGAACTTGACTATGTAAATGGTGTTGTGGCAAACCTTGAAAAAGAGTAAGTTTAATTCATACAAGTTACCACTGAAATATTTTGGATTATCTTTTAGTACACAGCTTAGAATCCAAAAGTGACACTTCTAAATAGGTTTGTGTAATATATTAAATTAATACATAATACATTATAGTTAAATAGCTACACTGAACATTGAGATAACTTTCCTTCTAAAACAGCAAATAGTATTATGATATAAGATCCTGAAATGGATACATCCACATGAAATAAAGATTGCATATGTACATTAAAGTTTTTATGTTAGTGGTAAAATATAAAAGACTGTCTAGGCGCTTAAGAAGTTAATATTGGTTGGTTCTGTAAAATACATACACATTTATCTCTGTAGACTAATCCATTGATAATTGCAAATGGTTTGAGACAATATGCTGCACTGATTTTGTAGATGTAGAATTTTCAATCTCAGAAGCTATCAAAGGCTTGGTAAACACAGAAGCCTCCTCAGTCAAATGTGGCCCTAGGTGACAAAACTACAGTTTTATGTGTAGGTTGAAATCAGCCTCCAATTTATTAACTTTTCACAGCTGAATACAAAATTGAACTCAAGTCCAAATTGATCACAGATGTCTGAAGTACTTGAATATAAAATAACAAAGCTGACTTTTCTGACCCCAGGTTTTCGACAGAAATTCGTTCTGGTTTAGTGGAAATAATAGCTCCTCCTGCATTTTACTATCCTGACATGAAAAATCTAAAAGAGACATTTGGAGATTCAAAAGAAAGAGTCAGGTAAGGATTTTTTTTTTTCTTGCAGGTGTGAAACTACTTTAGTCATCACAGTAGATCTTAACTGAGATAGTCTAGGATACTGTTAACTTACATATTGCATTTGAGAATACAGGGTAAACTAGGCCCAGAATCAGACTGCAAATTCTATTGCATGTTTTATATCCAGTAGTCTTTCCTAATTTGGTGCTCTTTATATATGCAGGAACTAGTTTTCACATTCCTCAACCATTGGCCATGTTGGTTACAGAATGTGCAACTGCCCATATACAGCAGTTGAGGAAAGACAGCTTACATTATTCTTACTACTCTTACTATTACATTATTCTTCGGGAATATTCATTTTTAAACATGACCTCAGACATGAGTCTTGGGGAAAGGAAGGGTTTTTCAATCTAAATCTTATGTTTTAGCTTTCTCATGATAATGTCAGTTTTGCTATTGTAGCCTTCTTTTGATCCACAAATGCTTAGCTTGGCACTGGATCATTGGATTTGGAACTGTTTTGAGCTTCTACTGTGGTATTTGGTGACTGAGCAGATAAGCAGATGTATAGTTTGGATTAAATAATGGCTAGAAAAAGATTCTATAATGACTATTATTTCTGTAATCCTAGCACTACAAGTACATGTTTCTTCGGTAATGTCTGCTAGGACTTGGGACAGAACCAAGGTGCTATCAGTTAGGACATGGGAGTATTATTTTGTGATATTAGATACACATCAAATCAAAATAAACATGACACAGGAAAACTTTGAACAGAACAAGATTTTTGAAGGACAACATCCAAATTTGCCCTTCCACTGACAAAGGAAACTGAAGACCAACGAAGACTCCTATGCTAGAGGAAGGAGGGTAGGAAACAACTTGTCACAGAAACAATTGTGGAGAGTCCCCCAATGCAGCAGAGTAGATCTTCCCGAGCAAAAGAATGTATGAAACTGAATAAGGAAAGGACGTTCAAAAGGAGCTTTTGTCTACTGATAAACTTCCTGAGATGGGCCTCTTCAGAGGTTTCAGTGAAGTGGTTGGATGGTGAGATTTGGGAATCAATCAGGGTTTGGGAGGGAATCAGAGATGACGTGTTCATTAATTACTAAAATAATAACTAAAACCATTGTTTATGTTTCAAGCATAAGGTTTTCAAGCTAATAATATAATATATAATATATATAAGGTTTCGAGCATAAGGTTTTCAAGTCTGCCTGTTCATGTGCAAAATAAATAACATTAAATATTTAATTTTAGATGGAGGACAAAGCAGAATCTGGATTACTGTTTTCTTATGATGTATGCACAGAAAAAAGGTGTATACTACATTCAGGTAAATTGTTTTTATATTGAATGTAAAAATAAATATTCAAAATATTTTTTAAATGTGTAATAGTGAACATGGCATAATGAGTATTCCATAACACAGCTATTTATCAAACGGTCTTTTAGACCTAATAAAGTTTATTTATCATAATACCAATTATTTGTAATATATTATTTTACAAAAATATAAAATATTTATAATATATAAGATTAGCTATTACAGTGAAATATTTCAATAAAACAATGAAAAATAGTGGAGGATTAAAATGTTTGTTTTGCAGTAGAATTTAAAATTTTAATTTCAAATTAAAACTGCCTTTTCATGATTATTTGAAAATTTAAAAGGCTTGTAGGATTCTTAAATATGAAGCACATGCAGTATTTTTAACTTCATTAGCATCTGTTATTGTCAAAGTTTCATTTTGTAAATTTGGTTCAGCCTACCAGGCATGAGTGTGCAATAAGGCCATAGATAAAGAGAGTTACACATGTTTAGATTTTTAGCCTCAAGGCAAATAATTAGTAATTAAGCAAAACTGATTTTTGGAATTAGACACAAATTGGTATAGTTAAAGTATAATGAGCACCTCTTTTTGCATGCTCTGATTTGCCTTTGAATCCAAACTGTTGCATAACTGTGTAAAGTGGGCCCTGGCATGTAAACACCCCTTGTTTAGTGATTATCTTGATTAGCAACCATTTGCAAGTACAACAGTAACAAAAATATTCAAAATTTGTACATGTGACGTCAGTGCACACCCAAATAAGAGTGATACTGATGTAGTTGTACAAGAACTGTTTCTGAATGACATGGCATTAATCAGTTATCTTCATAGCCTCTCTCTCTCTCTCTCTCTCTCTCCCTCCCTCCCTCCCTCTCCTGACTGTTGGAATGGAGCATGGTTGCTAAATGAGAACTGGATGTATTGTCTGTATGTAAAGCACAGACTTGTATTGAGAAAAGAGAGACACTATTTCATCACAGCTTTTAGTATTCCTCTCTTTGGGATTTTTGAAAGATGTGCAAGCAGTCTCATTATAAAACAAACAAAAAATAATGATCTGGTCCCACAAGTTCGCATTATATTGGTGCCTTTGGTCTAAGTCTGCAGATGCCCCTGTGCACATAAATGAGAAATCAAGTCTCTCCATAGGTTTCTTCCTTTTCTTTGCCCAGAATACCTTTGAGTTCACCCATGCTTAAAAACATCTGAGGAAAGGAGTGGAATAGAACAACATTCTGGGAATCAGCACTTTCCTATGTTCTGACTCATTTTAAAAAGAAGGAAGGAAATTTAAAAAAGCTTCTCTTAAAATAATGATTGGCTTCTGAATAGGATTCTACATCATGTTTAGGGTTGGGTGGAGCAGTTGCTGAGCACACTTGTATGTGGAAATTTCTGTGGGTCATTTCCAGCTTAATTTTCACCCATCAGACTTCCAGTCAATCTCTCTATTGAGAGCAAATACACACATCACTCAGTTCAGCGAACAAAAATAACCTTTATTAAACATCAACAAATATTTTAAAAAATGGGCAGAAAGGGACAAAAGTTGCCAAAAGAATAGAGACAAGAGGACACAAGCGACAGGCAACAATTTAGATTTATATAGCTGCCTAAATATCAAAAGGCACAAGAGCCTTCCACAGCCACTGGAAACCGTACTATGGCTAATGATCATGGACAGTCCTAAAGGACATGACCTTTTGTTATTCCATCTTTAAACCTTTTGTGTATATAGGACATGAAGTGATCCAGCCCTTATTCTCAACATGAAAGAAACAGTTTTGTAAAGTGGAATGATGCATCCAACAGCATGTGCATTTTTGGAGAGGAATTGTGTGTATGCGTTTGGCACTATTTGAGTATCTTCTGTGAAGTGAGAATTGTTGCCTAGGATAATATAGGGAGTTGCCTTTACCATTAGGGGCTTGTTGTTACTATATTACTGTTATTGTACGTAGATGTATTATTACAGTCAAGATGTCGACAGATACTTGGCACACCCTGCTCTGTTTTTCTTTCTGATTAAATACATGGATTAAGAGCATCAATCTTTGGGTGCCTCCTTAAAATTAAGTCTCATTTAGCGTAGCAGGACTTAATTCATTTTCTTTCGAAGTCTCTATAGCATTGCATTAAATTATCACAATAAAATAAAATAAAAATCAAGGCTGCTACTTCTTTTTAGTGTAAGGCTTGCTAAGGCTTTTGTAGCAAGCCTGGGGTACCAGATGTATGGCGAACCCTGCAATATGGTTGGGTTGATTTGTTTGTTAGCTGTTTTGGCTGTTTATCCCGGTTGCCAATTATGTATATATTATTGTTGTGTTTGTTATATGGTGTTTTTAATTTCCGTTAACTGCTCAGAATCATGGATTTGGAATGGCCAGGCAAAAATCAAGATAATAAATAATAGAGAAACTACCTGTGGAAGAAAGGCCTCCTCCTTTCTTGTACCCAACTTTGGCATAAATCCAGATAGTCCTCTACTTACAACCATAATTGAACCCAAAATTTCTGTTACTAAATGAAACATATATTAAGTGGATTTTGCCCCATCCTGTGACTTTTCTTGTCGCAATTGTTAAGTGAATCACTGCAGTTATTAATTTAGTCACCCAGATGTTAAGTGAATGACTACAGGGATGCTGCCGTGTTGTAAGTGTGAAAAACAGTCTTACCTCCCTTTTTTCAGCATCATTGTAACTTCAAATGGTTACTAAATAACTGTTGTAATTCAAGGATGACCTGTATGTTCTTTCTTCTGATGGGTCATATGATATTTCCTTCATCACACCCACAGCCTATTAGAGAGATAGCCATAACAGTATTAGTGTCAAAGTAGCATTTCCCCCTTATTATGGTATACTCTCCAAGGGCAATCCTTGTCTGCTTTTTCCTTAGGAGAAATTCAGATGTTTATACTAGTTTGAAGCAGACACTACAGAGACAGAATAAGGATTAGCAGTAGGAATAGCAAATTTCTTATCAGGATAGGTTTCTGCTTCTGATTCAGGGATGGGCATTTAAAGTCAACGGTTGGAAAAGGCCCAATGATGGCTGGATTTACATGTATGCTTGAACCTGAAAAAGTTAGTCCAATGCCGCCCCCATACAACTTCATTCCTCATTTCATTTCTTCTCTTTTGCTTTCTTGCTTGCTTGCGCTTGGGTCCCTTAGCTTGAGGATGACATCGTTGTCAAGCAGAATTATTTCAGCACAATAAAAAATTTTGCACTTCAGTTGTCATCAGAAGATTGGATGATTCTAGAATTCTCTCAGCTGGGATTTATTGGTAAGAAAAAAAACCCTCTTACATAATTTTTAAAAAGGAGAAGGATAGAAAAGCACATCAAAATCTGGGTAACCAATTTAACAACCCCCCCCCCTTCAAAAACAACTTTACAGTTCCTTTTGTAATATGAAAATGTTAGTTGTAAAATTTCCTGTATCATTCCTTACTAGATTATGTGTAGGTAGCACATAACGTGTAACAAAACCCATGTGATAGAAAATGGAATAATGTTGTAATTATGTCTGCAGTTCTTAAATACATTTTTTAAAATTGGAATATAAGTCTTAAATGGACTTCAGTCATCTAAATAAGTTCATTTATAGATTGACAAGTGAAAAACTATGTTTTAAAAGTTTCTTAATGTCTTATTTCTGCCTCTATCAAGGCCAGCAATTCAATATTTGCTCCTGAATCCATATTTGAAGAGAGATTCTACTTTCATCATATGTTAGACTGATACAAGTTTTTGAAGATACTGGGTTTCTTTAAAAAAAGAGTATGACTTCTCTAATTCTTCACTAGTAGCATTATAATTTCTAGCATTTGCTATCCTATGTGCAACTAATATCCCTCTTTAAATTGAATAATGGAAACAAACGCCTAGTCTCCCATTCAGTAAAGGGGAGGGAGGGAGGAGTAATGACAAAAGTAGTGTTGCACCAAGGTGATGCAAACTTTCTCTTTTATATGAGTGTTGGCAGAACTTTGGTCAAAATGGTATGATGCTGCATTTGGCATTTGACAAAAAGGTGATTGCTGTAGGTGCCTTTGCTTTGACATCTGCTGAAGTGAATGCAACAGTTCTGGTGAATTGAGGAAGACCACGGGTGGGATTCAACCTGTGTTACTACTGGTTCAGTGACTACGTTTTGCTGCGTGCATGAGTAAAAACATTAACTATGCCGCCCGGACAGCTGAAAAACGCTGCGCGGGGGTGCGCAGCATTTGAAAGGCCTCTTTTTTCCTGCTTTTTCAACCTCAGCTGTGCCGCGGAAAGCAGCTGAGGTTGAAAAAGCAGGAAATAAAGGACAGGAAAGAGCCCGGGCGGGCGGGCGGGCCAAACAGCAGCAAACACAGAACCGTTCGGTGTCTGCTGCTCTTCAGAGCTACCGGTTCTATAGAACGGGACAGAACCGGTAGCATCCCACCCCTGGAGGACCACCTTCACACAAGAAACCCTGCACAGACAGGGAATGCCTTAATCAGAATGCAAGACATATCATACGAATGTTCTGCAAGAAAAGTGTACATAAAACAGAAAATATAGATGATGGACACCAATTTTTATCTCTAAAGGGACAGTTTAGAGCAGGGGTGTCAAACTCGCAGCATCCTGGTGGCGTCACGTGATGTATCTTGACTTTTCTCCCCTTTGCTAAACCAGGGTTGGCATGGCCAGCTTGTGACGCATCTGACCTGCAGGAAGTAAGTTTGACACCCCTGGTTTAGAGCATTAATTGCTAATAAATGAGAAGGTACAGAGAAATGAAATTTAACATATATTATTTTTAGTTTTATGTCTGAAAGTGAGTTCATCTTGATGCCCTTGTGTCTTCAGCCTTTCTTTGAACCTATTACCCTAAATTATTCTGCAAATGTATTTTATCTGATAGTGGTACATTGTATAAAAAGAACAACTTGCAATATTTTGCTGGTTCAGATTCTAAACATTAGATTTTTGGGTTCGTACTCTTTAATAGAACACCATCCATTTAAAGCTCAAAATGCTAAATTATTGTTGATACATGTTATTATTTACAGGGAAAATGTTCCAGTCTCCAGATATTACGCTCATTGTAGAGTTCATACTTATGTTCTATAAAGAGAAACCAATTGACTGGCTCTTGGATCACATTCTTTGGGTGAAAGTGTGCAATCCGGAGAAAGATGCAGTAAGTTGATTTGAGAGTTTAATGTTTCTATGTGACATGATTGTAAGAAAATATGTTAAGAAACCTAGTCATAGTTTTTATAGCTCTTTTCTAAATTGTAGCTTCTTTTAGCTAAACAACGTTTAGTGTATTATGAAATGTTTAAGAAGATATGATTAATGATCCAGACATTACCAGAAAGAAATCATTTGAAGCTGTGCAAAGCTGTCGGATGGAGCATTTTGAAAAGCATGATTAATATAACTGAGGCACCCACCTTGAAATGTTAAAGAAGTATATTTTCTGGAAGGTTTGGCAAGACAGTTTCAAAAACTGTCTTTGGCTGTGTGCATGTGCACACACAGACAGCAATTCTCTGAGACTCAGAAAAACAAGAGAGCTCTGTGTGCAAGTATCTGTAGTCACAACTATGAATATTTTGAAGCAATCATGCCAAACTTTGCAGACGTCCTAAAGCAAAAAGAGAATGCTTTACTTATCCTAGCATACTATGTTTTGCAAAACACCCCTTTGCACAGCCCTACTATACATACACTGTAGAGGCCAAGTACTATAAAGACTGCATTATATCCTAAAAATATTTCAACTTCTCCAACTGTGCCCCAGCAGATATCATGCTTTCTACAGGTGGCCAGCAGAGAACATCCTACCTAAAATTTGAACGCCCATGGCCTGCTGTCTGGCAGGCCAAACAGATTGCTGGGGGAGGAGAGGCAGGGAATCTACCTGAATCTACTCAGGGATAAACATGCATTTGTGTGAATGTATTCCACCCCCTTTTTCAAAATGTAGACTCCCTTACTACAACCATGTTTCCTGGCCTATAGATTGAAAGTTGCAACTTTTGGAGTATTTAACCTGTGTTGAGGATGCCCAATTAATACTTAGCCTAGGGCAGAATCTATAGGAATAGGGAACGATGGTCCTTTCGTGACAAGTCATAAAAGGGCCATCGCTTCCCACCCCGATGTAACAGAAAAACTAGTCATTTGTTCTTATTCAGAGACTGGCCCAATTCTCATAATTGCAATAATAACCATGCTTTGCATGGGCTGGGTGATTCTCTTGAAAATGGTGTAGACTTGTCCCTACCCTCCAGGCAAGATACTCTTCTTTCATCTGTCTTTCATAGACAGGAAGAAATGTTGTTTGGAAAACCACTTCTTCATAGTGCTCTTCTTGTTGTGTCTTTAACAAGGCTGATAGATTAAACTGACCTTGTGTGGAGCTGTAGTTAGCTGCTACTGATGCTGTTGAGGTGAGGAGCAGGGAAGGACAGATAATTCTTCTCGGCCTGATTCTCTTTGCCAGCCTTTGGGGATGTGCTGCTTCCCTTCTTCCTTCCCTTGCCTGCACTTTTGTAGGAAAGTGCTGTCTTGTGAGCAGTGGTAGCAAGGGGCTAGAAGCATCCAGCAGTAATTTTCCTGAAAATTCCATTTCTGCAAAATCAAGCCAGAATTCTTTTTAAATGATCCAGGAAGCAATTCAGACACAGAAGCTGAAAGTAGAGGTAAAGGTAATTTATAAACCCCACAGAACTTTTCCATTGCAAAGAGTAAAAGAGTTTCTTCTGCAGTGTGAGGCATGCACATATAAGGGATGCAATTGCCCTTATGTTAAACTAAAGTGCTAGAGACTTCCATTAAATTCACACTATCTTTTCTTAGGCGTAGTACCAAAGTGATTTGCCATTGTCCTTCTATTGGGTTGCTTTTTAACCCAAAGTAACTATGCTCAACTGTCAAACATAGGCAGTGTGGTGAGGGCATGGAAACCAGGGAGTGGCTTTTGAATGGCTGCAAAGTTCATGTGCAGAAATGTTGGTTTGGCTAGAACCTATGTCTTATAATGAATTTTATTTCTTGGCATTTGAAATGAAATGGTTTCTCTGACGATAGAGAAATGAAATGTGGAAGCAAATCATATACATATATAACAATATATCAATATGAGAAAATCAATGAAAGGAAAAAGACAACAAAGGACAAAAGTAACTTATACTAAAATCAGAAATATGAATTGCTTTGTCCAATTATAGTTTTCAAACCAAATCATAACAACAAGAATGATGACTAATATATTATTAGGCATGACACTTTTATTTTTTATTTTAATTAAGGGCATTTCAAATAACAGATATTGCAGTTTGCAAAAGTAAAAGCTGTAGTTGGAAAATATATTTTTCTCAGAATTGGCATTTAGAGATCCTAGCAGCTATGAGAGATGAATGTTCATTACTTCCTATATAATTACTTACTAATGTTCTAATGACTGAATTTTTGTAGTGGTGGGAATATGTTATTTTATTCTGAATGAAATCATGTCTGCTAAATAAAAACAAGGTAAGAATGCAATAAATCAAGGGTCTCCAACCATGGCAACTTTAAGACTTGTGGACTTCAACTCCCAGAGTTAGCAAAGTTGGCTGAGTAACTCTGGGAGTTCAAGTCCACAAGTCTTAAAGTTGCCAAGGTTGGAGACTCCTGCAATAAATGATCCAGATAACCAGTTTTTAACCCATGTATAATGATGATGTGTCTTATGCTAAAAAAAGTTTCCACCATTTTGTTAAAGAAACATTGTGATCGCCAGAAGTCAAATCTCAGAATACGGTTCAGGCCTTCGCTTTTTCAGCATGTGGGCCTACACTCTTCCCTAGAAGGAAAGATTCAAAAACTCACAGTGAGTACTGATAGAAAGCAACATATACTTACACCAATTTTTGGAAATATGTTCATTAATCAACCTTAATTAAGAACTACTTATTTTTTAAATATATATTTCTTAACTATGTACTATATTTAAATACAACTGCCACAAAATCTGAGTATAATTCAGTCATTAAGTGAGACATCAGATGACTATGACTTTACTTCCTCATTGTCCATTAACTCTGTTTGTCACATGGATGTTTGTGTGGTTCTTGTGCTTACAGGCACTTGACAAGTGGCTGTAAGTGCTAATAGGTTGCTAGACATCCAGATCATGATCACATGATTGCATCTAGTAATCTAGTAAAGTCAGTCCTTTCCTTCCTTCCTTCCTTCCTTCCTTCCTTCCTTCCTTCCTTCCCTCCCTCCCTCCCTCCCTCCCTCCCTCCCTCCCTGCTTTCTGGCAGTCCTGGTCAAATCAGCGATTTGATTTATACTGATCAGTTGATAATTATGTTAGAGTAGTTGTTAACCAGAATCTGTTTGCAAATCTGAATTAGAGTACTTGGGTATGGGGTCATGATGGGGAGATGATATTATTTCAAATTGCCCCTTTTAGGTGAGAATAGTTCAGAAACTTTTCCAATGCCATGCTCATTCTAGTTGACCATTTTATATATCCTGAGCATTGTACAACATGCAATGGGTCCAACAGACAGGGAACATCTGTCAGTTGTATCTAAATGAAAAGAAAGTGTCATTTGTAGATGATCACAGTCAGAAGCACCAACTGTTGTATGGTCTCTTAGGAAATTTACAAGTCCTCAAGCAAGGGCTGTACCATCTGTTGTGCTCAAATTGAAGCTAGACCAAAATGTAAGTTCCCCTAGTCTGTCCCTAGGGACACCACCATTTAGGGCAGTAGTTGCCAACCGGTGGGCCGTGGCCCACTGGTGGTCCATGAGAAAATTTTGGTGGGCCACAGAAAAATGTCACCCTCAGAGCACCCCCCCAAAGCAATTAATCCAGGCTGCACAGAAACACAAGGCTGCGCTGCCCACATGGCCCGCGGGAACCCTTCCCACCCACTCACTTCTTACCGGGCAAACTTGCCTGCTAGTTGCTATTTTGCCTTTTTTCCCCCCGACCATCAGCTGTTCTGCTGTGCTGGGAGATTTAGATTAGCTAGAAAGCAGGAAATGGTTGCATTTCTTGCTTTCTGGCTAGTCTTTAGATCTTCGGCTCTACACAGCCGAACCTCCCTTAGGACTGAAGGTTCTATTATTCAGTGCAGACTCACGGCAAGCAAATTTTATGTGACAGACTCAGGTTGGCAATGGCAGATAGATAGATCACTAAATGATTCTGTGAGCAACTCAATCTGCCTGCCTGCTTTGCCTGATTTGGGGTAAAAGTTGCTCTTTTTTAAAATAAAAAATTCAATATTTACATGCATGGTGTGTTGTGAGTTAAATTTTGTGAATTTGCTTGCAAGCAAATTTTATGTGACAGACTGAACTAGCTGATGGCAGATAGATAGATCTCTGAATGTATCTGTGATTCTGTGAGCAACTCAATCTGCCTGCCTGCTTTGCCTGATTTTGGGGGAAAGTTGCTCTTTTTTTAATAAAAAAAATTCAATATTTATATAAATATTTATAATATTTACATACAAGCCATGCCCAGCCAGTCACATGACCACACCCAAGCCACACCCACAAATTAGGCCGTGCCCACAGAACCGGTTAGTGGTCCCTGGGATTTAAAATTATGAGTTTGGTGGTCCCTGAGGTCCAAAAGGTTGGTGACCCCTGATTTAGGGTATGTAAACTGAGGTTGCTAAAGCATTTTGCAAGACAAAAACCTGTGAAGTTAGATATTGGACCTTTGGATTGGTGGCTGTCCAGCAGTGGAGGCAAATAAACCTCTGGAGGATATTTATGCTTGAATAGCAATAGCAATAGCAGTTAGACCTATATATAGCTTCATAATGCTTTACAGCCCTCTTTAAGTCAGCATATTGCCCCCTATAATCTGGGTCCCTGGAAGGCTGAGTCAACCTTGAGTTGATGAGAATCGAACTGCTGAACTGCTGGCAGTTGGCAGTTAGCAGAATTAGCCTGCAGTACTGCATTCTAACCACTGCGTCACCACAGCTCTAAAGGGCCTAATCATTGTGGCCAAATCTTGCATTAAAATCTCCTCCTATAATAATTATTATTAAATTTATATTTTCTTGCCATCTCTTGATTGCTTTCACGATAGTACAGATAGTCCTTGACTTACAACTGCAACTGGGGTCGGAATTTCTATTCCTAAGTTGTACGAGTCACACCTGATTTTATAACCATGGTTGTTAATGAGTCCTTGCGGTTATTAAGTGAATCATTAAGTTAATCTGGCTTCCCCTATTAACGTTGTTTGGAAACCAGCTGGAAAGATTGCAAATGGCAATCACCTAACCCCAGGACACTGCAGCTGTTATAAATGCCAGTCCCTGTTGTCACGTGCCTGCATTGCGATCATGTGACCATCATCGTGGTGTGATGATTGTAAGTGCGAGAATTTGTTTCAAATCACTTTTTTCAGTGCCATTGGAATTTCAAACCAAATTCATAACCAAGTGGTTGTAAGTCTAGAATTACCTGCAGGTGTAGGAGGTTGTTTCTCATGCAATAAATAAAATATTGCTAACTGTAATGTTCCATAGATTAAAAGGGAAAACAGTTTAAAAACAAAAATAAGATAAACAAAGCTTTAAAATGGGAAATTTATAAGCAGGACCAAGGAGAGTCTGTAAGAAGATGCTGTCATGTCACCGTGACCTCCCCCAGATTTTCCTATAAGTTATGGGACAAAACGTTGCCAGATGTAGTGTTTAGGGGAGCTTTTCACTACAATTTTGTCTAAGTGAAATATGTCCGTAAAATTGTTACAAATGATTTTTATCAAGAAAAATTTAATAACCTTGAAAAGCACAGGAAATCTATTTATTGCCCTACCATCTATACTTTGTTGTTATTGTTGTTCCCCACTTAACATTATATCTTGTCTTTTTTTTTAATAGGATAAAGACTTCTTGAAACCATTATTGCATAAAATTCATGTGAATCCACCAGCAGAGGTTTCTACAACGTTAAAAGTCTATCAAGGGCATGCTCTTGAAAAAGCCTACATGGGTGAAGACTTTTTTTGGGCTATCACACCAGTTGCTGGAGATTATATCTTGTTTAAATTTGACAAGCCAGCTAATCTAGAAAGGTAACTGTTTTTCATTTTCATTTTAATATGAAACATTTCCTGAGCTGAAGGGGTTAATATCTCCTGGTAGTAAATTAAACAGTGAAGACACTACACCAGAGGTCCCCAAATTTGGCAACTTTAAGACTTGTGGACTTCAACTCCCAGAATTCTCCAGCCAGCTATGCTTAAAGCTGCCAAGTTTGGGGACCCCTACACTACACGTAGTCCTTGACCACAAGTGAGAATCAAATATCCTTTGCTAAGCAAGGCAGTTAAGTGAGCGGTGCTTCATCCAATTATTCTGTTATGGTCTTTTTGCCACAGTAAATCAGTGGCGGGATTCAAATTTCTTTACTACCGGTTCTGTGGGCGTGGCTTGGTGGGCGTAGCAGAGGAAGGATACTGTAAAATCTCCAGTCAGAGGTGATATTTGCCAGTTCTCCGAATTACTCAAAATTTCCACTACTGGTTCTCCCGAGCTGGTCAGAACCTGCTGAGCAACTCGCTGGAGTTGGTAAGTCAATCATGCAGTTGTTAAGTAGGGGTTGCCACAAAGAAGAGGAATACTAATCAAGGAGAGAAGCAACCTGGAACTAAGAAGAAATTTCCTGACAGAACAATTAATCAGTGGAACAATTTGCCTCCAGAAGTTGTGAATTCTCTCCAACACTGGACATTTTTTTAAAAAAATATTCGGATAACCACTTGTCGGAAATGGTGTAGGTTTTCCTGCTAAGCAGGAGGTTGGACTAGAAGACCTCCGAGGTCCCTTCCAACTCTGTTATTCTATTCTTTTCTATTTTCTATTTCATTTCTGCTGTCCCCATTGACTTTTCTTCTTGGAAGCCTGCTGGATATATATATATTAGTGCGCTGGAGTTTCAATCCACTCTCCCAGATTTTGTCATGTTATGCCCTCTCTCCAGAGACCCAGTTAAACGTAATCTCATGGAAACAGCTATCCAACACCTACTGGACATACGAGCCATCCAGCCAGTAGCCACCAACCAACGAGGGCGAGGTTTCTATTCACATCTTTTTGTTGTTCCCAAAAGTTTGGGGGGGTGGGGTGGAGAGCAATATTGGATCTGAAACGTCTCAACCATTTCTTAGTATATCACAAGTGTAAAATGCACTCCCTGCAATCCATCTTACTTGGCATCAGAAAGGGTGACATCCTCACGTCCATAAACCAGACGGAGGCGTACCTGCATATTGCTATTCGGCCTTCCCACTATAACTTTCTGAGATTCTGTTATAATAACCACCATTTTGAATATGTGGCCCTTCCTTTTGGACTAGCTTCTGCCCCTAGGACCTTCATGAAGGTTCTCGCAGTGCTAGCTGCTCATCTCCGTGATATCCCCGTACGACTCCAGTGTTATCTTGATGACATCTTGATTTTGTCATCTTCCGCTCATCAGGCAGTTAAAAATACGCAGAACACATTACAATCCCTACAACAACACGGATTCTCAATAAATTGGAAAAAGAGTCATTTAACACCATCGACTCAGTTAACCCATCTGGGGGCAGTCATAGATACGATGGAAGGCAAAGTTTACCTGTCACCAGATAGACTAAATAGCATTCAGCAATTAGTTAAGGAGATCAGGGGTCTTAAGAGGGTGTCCCCTAGCTGAACTATCAAAATTGTTAAGAAAGATGATCTCATGTATCTCTATCATCCCTTGGGCCCGGCTCCACACTAGATCCCTCTAGTGGTTCCTGCTACCGTACCAGCGCTCCAGCCGAAGCAACTCCAAATACAAGGTCAGGGTACCATCAAAGGTCCTCACATCTCTCCTCTGGTGGACCAGACCAGTCATCAACAGAGGCTGCCTCTTCAAAGAGCCACACAGACTTACCATCACCACTGATGCCAGCCTGTTTGGATGGGGAGCGCACGTTCAATCGCTCACAACCCAAGGCCGCTAGTCTGCCATAGAACAGTCGTGCAGCATAAACTGGCTGGAGCTTCGAGCAGTACACCTGGCTCTCCGCAGCTTCCTTCCACAGGTACGCAATCAGCACATACTAATATTGACCGACAATGTAACAGCCAAAGCTCACATAAATAAACAGGGGGGCACACAGTCGAAACATCTCACGCGAGAAGCGGAGCGCTTGTGTCGTTGGGCGGAGAGCAACCTACTTTCCATCAGAGCAGAGCACATTTCGGGTCTGTCGAATACACAGGCAGACTGGCTGCGCAGGGCCACGATCGATCAATCGGAGTGGCGCCTCCATCCATCCCTGTTTCAATAAGCGGTCAGGACATTTGGACAGCCGGTGGTGGACCTGTTCGCTTCCCCCCTCAACGCTCAGCTCCTGAGATTTTTTTCCAGGTACCCCTCGCAAGGAGCGGAGAACTTCAACTCACTCCACTGTCGTTGGTCCCCTGGACTTCTGTATGCATTCCCGCTACTTCCACTGGTTCCCAAGGTCATCCAGAAACTGCTAGACGAGAGGGCGGAACTACTTCTAGTAGCTCCTTACTGGCCCAGACGGCCGTGGTTTGCAGACCTCCGCAGTCTCTCCGTATCAACACCATGGAGAATTCCGCCAGCCAGGGTTTCATTGACCCAGGGACCCCTCCAACATCCAGACCCTCAATGGTTGCACCTGATCGTCTGGAGGTTGAGCGGAGTTGTCTGAAGAGCGAAAAGTTTTCCAACAGAGTTATTGCCACTATCCAAGCCGCCAGACGCCCCTCAACAACTCGCATTTACAATGCCACATGGTCCAGTTTCTGCAAATGGTGTACCGAGTCTCGAATTCATCCCATCTCTCCATCTGTGGCTCAAATCCTAGAGTTCTTGCAAGATGGGCTTGACAAGGGTTTATCACCTAATACGTTGAAAAGACAGGTGGCGACCTTGGCGTCAGTTCTCACTTGTGAAGGTCTACTTTCTCTTTCCCATCATCCACGCATACGAGGTTTCCTTCGAGGAGCCACAAATTTACGCCCTCCAGTGGTACACCATTATCCCACCTGGGACCTTAACAAGGTCCTCGTCGCACTCACTAAGGGCCCTTTCGAACCCTTGAAATCATCAAGTCTCCAATTTCTGACGTACAAAGTAGTTTTCCTTGTAGCAATCACTTCTGCTCGTCGTATTTCGGAGATTGCAGCTTTGTCTGTCAGACAAGATCTTTGTGTTTTCCATTCTGACCGGGTGGTCCTTCGTCCTGATCCTACATTTATACCCAAAATTAACTCGGTCTTTCATAGGGCACAAGAGCTGATACTTCCTAATTTTTGTCCCAGACCATCCCAAGGGTTGGAACTACAATGGCATAGGTTTGATGTGAGGCGAGCATATATCAACCGCACAGCGGCTTTCAGAAAAACGGAGGCCTTATTTGTGTCTTTTCAGCCCAACACTCAGGGATGCAAGGTCTCACCTTCTACAATAGGCCGTTGGCTACGGGCCGCGATAGCGAAAACGTATCAGACTCAATCTCTGCAGGTGCCCAGGGGCATAACAGCTCATTCAACAAGGAGCGCTGCAACATCGGCAGCGTGGGCCACACAGGCACCAATAACTGAAATTTGTCGAGCCGCAACCTGGGCCTCTCCATCGCCATTCATTAGGCATTATAAAATAGATGTGTTTGCATCCGCTGAGGCCTCCTTTGGCAGAAGAGTTCTGCAACGGGTCCACAGGGACCAGGAGGAGATTCCAGGCCAGACGGAGTCCCTCCCGTAGGACAGGCCAAGCTTTGGTATGTCCCACTACTGGATGCTCTGAACAGCTTATGGGAGAAAGGACATTGGTCCTTACCTGACACGCCCGTTCTCTTTGAGCTGTGAAGAGCATCCAGCCCCACCCTTTTTTTCCGTCTGGTGGGGTTTTTAGGGCATTGAGGACGAGGGCGGTTATGTCTCTCGTCTTCGCCAAAACTGGGGAATGCTGGGGAGGAGTACCGTGGAGGAGGAGGAGCATTCCACGAATTAAGCCCAGCCTAGACATGTGGAGACTGAAGCACCTCTCACTACTGGATGCTCTTCACAGCTCAAAGAGAACGGGCGTGTCAGGTAAGTACCAATGCCCTTTCTGAAGATTGTCAGATAACCATTTTGTTACTCTGATGTCATCTAAACTACTGGTTGCCAACCAGTGGTCCGCAGACCACCAGAAATTTTGGTGGGCTGCAGAGAAATCTCACCCCCAGAGCACACACCCCAAGCAATTAATCCAGGCTGCACAGGAACACAAGGCTGCGCCGCCCACATGGCCTGTGGGAACCGACCCCGCCCACTCACTCCTTACCTGGCAAACTTGCCTGCTAAATTGCTATTTTTTTCTTTTTCCGATCATCAGCTGTTCTGCTGTGCCGGGAAATTTAGATTAGCCATGAAGCAGGAAAACGATGGATTTCTTGCTTTCTAGCTAATCTTTAGATCTTCGGTTCTGAACCTTCCTTAGGACCGAAGCAGTACAGACTCAGATAGCCAATGGCAGAAGCACAGATCTCTAAGTAAATCTGTAATTCTGTGAGCCACTCAATCTGCCTGCCTGCTTTGCCTGATTTTGGGTAAAAGTTGCTCTTTTTTTTTAATAAAAAAATCAATATTTATATATATGGTTTGTGGTGAGTTAATTTTGTGAGTTTGCTTGCTAGCAAATGTTATGAGTTTGCTTGCAAGCAAATTTTATGTGACAGACTCAGCTAGCCAATGGCAGATAGATAGATCTCTAAATGAATCTGTGATTCCATGAGCAACTCAATCTGCCTGCCTGCTTTGCCTGATTTTGGGTAAAAGTTGCTCTTTTTTAAATAAAAAATTCAATTTTTATTTAAATATTTATAATATTTACATGCAAGCCATGCCCAGCCAGTCAAGCCTACCAAGCCACACCCACAAATTTGGCCATGCCCACAGAACCGATTGTTAAGAAATTTGAATCCCCACCCCTGTCTCTGTCTGTTTGTGTGTGTGAGAGAGGCGGGGAGGGAGAGAGGGAGATTAGATCAGATCTCTCTCTCTCCCTCTCCCACCAAGGTCAGCAAGCACCATCAGTAAAAATTCATATTAGTGGTCCCCGGAATTTAAAATTATGAGTTTGGTGGTCCCTGAGGTCCAAAGGGTTGGCAACCCCTGATCTAAACTAAGTTTGAGTTACAAAATCATTCTTCATGTTCTTCATATGAAACCTCATGAATGCCAAAATGGCCTTTAATTAGATTCTCAGCAAAGAGACAGAGCAAAATGTCTTCTGTGCTTGTGTTGTTATAATGGAAATTCTGCTGGTTATCTTGTTCACCTATTTGAAAAAGTTCATAATGAATTGTTTGCAAGATCAGTTTTGAACATTATGTTTTGTTCTTCATTCTTGGTAGCAATTCTTTGCATATTACCTAGAAGTAAACTCTCAATAGATAGAAATGGAGCTCTATGGGTGATTTGTGATTGTTTTTTCTATTTGTTTTGCTTTATTGTTTTTCATGATATAGATTCCTGTTCCATAGTGGCAATCCAGAACATCCAGGGGATATATTGGTCAATACAACTGTGGAAGTATTACCTCTTAGGGTATGATAATAAAGTCTACTACTTCTTCCTTTCTATGAGTATAACAGTTATACAAATAGTTAGCAACCACAATTGGGACCAGAACTCAATTGCTAAATGGTGCTAAGTTGGAAAATCATGTTACTACAACTGTGCTTATCCTTTTATTTCAGCTTTCCTTTTCTCCTACTCCCAAGCTGAATGCTTACAGCAACACTGTATAATTAGCAAGAATTAATGTTTGTGTTACATTCACTGTAGACGAAGGGATTACAAGAGAGTAAGCAGGACCACTCCTTTATTAATACTGGGGATTACACTGGCTGTTTGCCTTGCATGCTCAAGGCTGAGAATTTACAAATAATAACTTCCTGCAATAATGTAGTCATCAGCATTCTTTTTATCCCACTCTTTAAAAAATAAGCCTGGACTCCATGTACCTTATTCTGTAACTATAACTGAAGACATTCCCTACCCATGCCCCCATCCCCAGAACAATAAATATTGATAGACCATCACAATAAACTTGACTTTTGTTGCTGAACTAAAGTTTCCTGTATCTCAGCACAGGCCATGCTGCACCTTTTGTAATTCAGCCACAGCTGAAAGATGATAGATTTTCCATCTTTCTTCAGAATGCTGATCAATGGTAGAACCAAGGAGGGAAGGTGTAGTGGACTTGCAGGACTTGCAGATGATTAAACATAAAATATAAATTATCCACTTGTAAATTATTAACTTGTTAAACTTCAATTCTCTATTGTCTTGGGGCTTATTTATTAGTAAATATCTTTAGTATTGGACTACAACTTTTTATAGGTCTCAAAGAGGAATATAAACTGAATATAAATGCCATTATTAAAAATTCCAAAGATAGGTCAGAGAAAGGGAAAAATCACATCATGCATATTATGTTAAAATAAGCTGTATATATGGAAATAAAAGGATGCAGCATATCATTATCTTTTAAGAATATTTTTTCACTTCCTGGTATCAACCAACCATGGCCTTTTCAGGGAGGGCCCAGTCCAGTCTTGTTGGCTTCCAGGGTATTATGAAGTGGGGATGGGGGAAAGAATTGTGAATTTGTTATTCATTAGCATATTAGTATTTATTAAACAATTAATTAAATCCTTTATCAGTTTGATGATAATATTTTATATCTCATATAAAATATATTTCATTTTCAGAATAAAGAGCTGGTATTAAGCAAAGAAACCAAAGAGAAACGGTTAGAAGATGGTTATTTCAGAATAGGTAACCAAATAATACTACAGTTCTGTTTTATAGACATTTCAATACAAAATCTAAGTAACTCAAGTTATGACTCATTTTGCATTACTATTGATCTAGCAGCATACTAATCAAGTTCAGGGGACAGAATTTCATGAACCAGTGTCACAGAAGGTATATGAGTAGCGATATGGTATTGGCATTACCCACAAAATAAGGTGTGCTGTGACATGTTGGAACTCTGAAATCTAGGGAAAAATTGCAACCATCTAATTATGGATTCTGAAGTCTGCATCACTTAAATGTTGTTATGATAGAGTAGCAATTCAAAATTTATTGCAAAGTGTAGTGCATAGGGGTGCATATACTGTATAGAGACTCCTTAAAGCAGCCATCTGACTTTGCGAAAATACATAGCAGCATTAAAGAATTTGAGTCAAGTGCTATCTTCATGTTCTCTGAAGGCCTTTTTTGAAATTGTTCATATTCCAGCTAAATGAAGTGATCATACGATTTTCATTTGATAGAATAAATAAGTAGAATAAAACCAATCAATCATGCTATATTGGCAGATAATTTTTTCATATTATCCATAAAAATCCAGATTTTGTAATCTATTTGTGCAAAATTGATAGATTACATATAAGTGATTTGTATTTGCTAAGTATATACTTATTTAGAATGATTATTTTGCTTTTGAAGGCAAATTTGAAAATGGCATAGCAGAAGGAATAGTCAATCCTAATCTAAATCCAATTACAGCTGTCCGGCTGTTCATCATACAAAATTCATCCGTCTGGGCAATCATAAATGAGGTAAGAGTTAAACAAAGGGTGCTTAATTACTAGAACTTTTGCCTCAAGCATTTAAATTCCTAAGTTTCTTAACTATCATGATATCTTAAATTTTTGGGACTATTCTGAATCTTTCTCCTTTATAAAAGTGCAGTTGCTATGCACTGAAGAGGAATATTAATACTGGATGGAAAATTCAGAATAGTTTGACTTCTTTGCATTTTATAGCACTTGTATATTCTTGATTTCCTACCATAGACTGGATAGTCCAATGGTATGAATTGAGTTAGATCCAAATATGTCCTATTTGTTGAAAGGCCCTTTGTCTCCTTTTTCCTTTTTCCAATACTACCCATGCTATTCAGAAGGTTCTCCGGTTCCTGAGATCTGATTTCTAAGAATAGCGGAGAAAGGAAACCCATCTCTTCTGTTACCAAGAGCGAAAGTGCTTTCTATCAATATATTCTGTTCATGGAATATTTGAGCTAGTCCAGTTCAGAAAACCTTTTACAGTAATCAAGTGTGTCAGTTTGCAGGGTTCTTAATGACTTAGATCAGACTTGCCAAATCTGGTGGTCTGTCATATAAGTTCTATACATCTGAAATGTCATGTTGGGAAAAACTGTCTTAGATTAACTAAGAAATTGTGGCTAGTAGTAATATAACGAAGAACTATACCTTATAATAGAAAAGAGGCTTCTGTTTCTCCTTTATCTTTCAGTAGTAATGGCCATAGAGATGTACTGAACAATAGCTCCCAGCAACCACTTTCATCATGTCTTCTGCTAACAGATACGTAAATTTTGATCTAGATCAGAGGTCTCCAAACTTGGCAACTTTAAGTGGACTTCAACTCCCAGGATTCCTCAGCCAGCTATGTTGCCAAGTTTGGGAACCCCTGATCTAGCTGTTCACCCCATCTCTGATTAACAGTCATTCTTGTATCAAAAGACATGCAGAAGCACATTCCAAAAAGGTGATTTGTTAAATGTTGCGGAAACTTGATTACACTACACTGAAAAGCCTATGAAGAATGTTTGCTTAAGTGTTTGGCTGTTTATTGGGGGTCTATCAGACATTTTTCAATTCTGCATTACAGATTCATATTAAAAAGCTCCCCAACTGATTAATATTGAAGAAGTAAGAAGATAGATTTTGAATATTTTTGCAAAATCGTCCGAACTGCAGAAGGAAGATATTGAGTACGCACCTTAATTCAACTCAACTGAAACACTACCTCCCGTGAATTCTACTGTAATTGAAAATAAGGACTCAGCAAGAAGGATTGATTACAACGTAGAAACTGATATTCACCTGGCATTCTTTATCTATATTAATAATTTGAACATGACTTTGGTTGGCTAGGGAGCACATAAATTCTCCTTGGCCTATCCAATGGTGATGGGTTAAGTACATAAAAGGTGTACATATTGTTACATTCCTTGGAAATGAGAAAAAGGTGTTAAAATGCATTTTATGAAGAGGGTACTTTTTGAAAGTCCATTTATTTTGTTATTGAAAACCCTCTTTTATAGATTATCAGGGATATATATTCAAAAATTTTAGGGTATTTAATTTATTAAATAATTTGAAAAGTACATATTTTTATGCCAATAATAACTTGTTTTTTAATGTATTATCTTACTTCTTGAGTTAAATGTACATTTTACTTGGTTAATGATCATATTTTGTAATGTATTGCCATGGTTAGAAGAGTTGAACTGAATTTGCCAATGAAGCACTTTTGTACCAGACCAGATTCTCCTGCACAAATCCCACTGAAATAAGAAGGGTTTCACAGAAGAACATCCTCATGAAAAGTTCACAGAATCACGGATATGGTGTTCAAAGATACACACATGGCATGCAAGGACTTTGAAGAACATTACCTATGATTTTCATCGCCCTGGAATTAAGGAATTTTATATTTCAATAGAGTGAATGAAGTCTGCAGCAATTTAAAGTTTGAATCATTCCCCATTAAAGGGGTACTTTGATAACAGGTTGTTCTTTTTTAATCTTTGTAAAGTTTTCTTCAATGCAATCAGCCAAGTTGCTCTTTGGATAGCAATGCCTTCTGAAATCAACTTTTTTTTTTTTTTTGCATTCCCTTTTCAATGAACTCTGCTCAGTGCTTTTGAATGATTTAATTTAGCATTATGTTAGGGATAATGGAATAGATACACAGTAACCTCAGCTGAGCTTTTATAATTGTAACTTTGTCAGTCCTTAAATGTGGAAGTGATTTCTATTTCTTAAGATCTAGCTTCTGTTTAAAAGCATTGCACTCCAATTGACTGAAGCAAGGCTCCTGTGATTTAAATGCTTGTTGTCTTTTGTATTTCAAAGAAAAAAGATGTTTGCTTGGTCAGTAGCCTTGAAGAGAGGCAATTCAAGCACTTTGTGCTCCGTAGCACAGAAAACATGCAATAGTAAAGTAATAATAGTAACAAAACATGTTTTTTCTTATCTAACTCCAGCCAAGTTATGAAAAGCAAGGCTATTTTTTTAGTTCTGTGACTCACACAGGTAAATTGAATCTTCTTCAATAGTGAGAGCTTGTATTGTGAGTTAATTCTTAGATATTTCTGTGTCTCGGATGTAAGTTTTTGCCAAAAATCAATGTCTCTCTTGCCTTCTATCAAATATAGAAATGATTTGTAATGTATTGAAGGGATTGGACATCTGTTTTCTATTTGAGTCTATGAAGAGTCCAACCACTTCTAAAGAAGAAGAAAAAAGATCACAGTATGAAAAAAACACTTGAATTGTTTCAAATTATTCAAGACTTGAGATTGCTTTGATTTTAATTAGATCTGATCCTATATTTATGAAATAGTTTTGCTGAAATTCTTTGTTGGTTGGGGACATTTGCATATAGAATTGCTTGTATGACATACTAAGTTATGGATTTGAATATTACTACTTCTATAAAATTAATGGATGGCCTGTACTCAGGGGTGGGATTCAAATTTTTTAACAACAGGTTCTGTGGGTGTGGCTTAGTTGGTGGGCGTGGCTTGGTCATGTGACCGGCTGGGTGTGGCCAACTCAACATCACTCACATTGAGGCACACATCTCCTTGCCTGGCCTCTCATGACTGTGGGGATGCTGCAACAGTCGTAAATGTGAAAAATGGTCATAAGTCACTTTTTTCAGTGCCATTGTAACTTTGAATGGTCACTCCACACAAGCAAAGTACCAACAAAGGAGGGGAAAAAAACTCCAAAGAAGTTTCTGAGACAGGAAGTCTAGTCCTGCCAAGAATGTAATAAGGGTTAATGGAGAGGCAGCTTCTGTAAGCAACACCAGAATGTTTCTTTCCTGCCTTCCTTACCAGATTAGGCCAGTAATTTCTTCTAACAATCGGTTCTCCGAACTGCTTAGAATGTTAACAACTGGTTCTAGCGAATAGGTTCAAACCTGTAGAATCCCACCCCTGCCTGTACTGATTCCAAAATGGAAGGAATAGTAATAGTGGCCTATTTTACAGACTAAACTAATGAAGAATTCTGATTCCTAAATGTTCTATAAATCTTAAATGTTAAAATTATTTTTAGATAACCTGTAAGCTGCCTGTAATACTGAACACTAATTGAATGTGTATTTAATATTGACATGCCATGTTGGGGTGGGTGGAGTATTTATGATAAACTTAATAATGATAATCAAGAATAACATTTTCCTACACAAAAATAAGGTTGGGTAGGAAAAACATAGAGAATTGGGGGAAAACTGTTCAAAATATGTACCTTTTCTTTATATGGAAAAGGGAATAATATGTATGAAAATATTCATGTCCATATTTTAAGTTTCTTATGAACATGTCGTAAAGCTATATAATCACTTGTCATAGCTCTCAAGCTAACATAGCAGATCAATGATTTATGAGTCTCTGCCTCATAAATGTGAGGTTTTCTCTCCCCAGTGGCTTATTCCATTGCAGTTTTTGTAGGTTTATTTACCTCTTGTATTTAAACATTAGTCTGAATTTAGATCTAAATGTAATTTATTGTTCTCTTCCAAAGACCAGTAGATCATTTTCTCCCATTGAATGTATGGTCTTTGGGGAAAGTTTCTCTCTCGAAAATCAGTAGCCAATTGATTTAACAGTAACCCAGAAGTCAAAAGTGATGTCCTCCAGTGCAACTTTAGGCATACTTTGTCAGATGCAATATTTCCTGTATTCAGTAGTATTCTAATATGCACTATTACAGATCTAATGTTTCAATCCTTAACTTTAATTCTTGAAACCCATACAAACAGACAACTGTCTTAGGTATAAACCATTCCATGTAATAAAGAATTGCACAGAAGATGAGATACACTAGCAAAGTGTTCCTGTATTGCCAATTGGAAATGAGAAAAAGTAATAAATGTCAGTTCTTTATACTGCCAGCTTTAAAGATCCAACTGGCTAAGGATAAATCAGGTAATAAAGCCCACCCCTCAAAGCAATTGGCCAGTTGTATAAGGATATCTAAATGGACCAATGAACTTCTATGAAGCTCTAGTGAAGAAAAGAGCTTGTGTACAATTATCCACCACTTGAGCTATAGTAATAGAATTGTCTTAATGGTATTGTCCTAGCATCATTCTAAGTACATTCATTTACTTTGATGCTGTAGTAGAGATTGTTAACAATAATTTCAAATGTTTTATTTTCTAATGGAAGACTTAGATTATTGTTTTGTAAGTACAACAGTGAGAGAGGCAATTTAATGATTAAGGCTTTAGACTAGAAACTGGGACCCTGAATTCTAATCATGCCTTATGTGTTAAGCCAGATGAGTGACTTTGGGCCAGTTTTTCCCACCCACCCCCCAGCCTAGGAAGGAGGCAATAGCAATCCACTTCTGAAATCTTGCCAAGAAAACTGCAAAGGCTCATCCAGAAGTCAGTACAATACTGACTTGAAAGCCAGATGCAAAAAAAAAAAAAAACAACCCCAATAAACAGTATACATTGAGTTGGTGCTTAGAATAATCTCACTGAATGGAATATGCAAAAATCTTATTGCTTTCCAATAACTACATGACTATCAGGACATGAATGCAACTATATTACAGATAGTCCTCAGTGTAAAAATCATAATCGGGACCAGAATTTATGTGGCTAAAAAAGACAGTGGTAAAGTGGGTCATCTCCAATTTTATAGCTTTTTTTTTGCCATGTTAAGCAAATCACTGCAGTTGTAAAATGAATCCGGCTTCCCTCATTGGCTTTGCTTGTCAGAAGCCGGCTGGGAAGGTTGCAAATGGTGATCATATGACCAACCCCAGATGATCCTGCAACCATCGTAAATACGTGTCAGTTGCCAAGCACCCAGACTTTGATCTGTGAATGTGTGGATGCTGCAACGGTTGTAAGTGTGAGGACCAATTATTAGGCACCTTTTTTCACTGCCATTGTAACTTCAAACATTTGCTAAATGGTTGTAAGTCAAGAATTACTTATATGTCACTAGGTTGTTCGAAAATAGGTTCAGTAGAAAATTCTCAGTTGATGACTTAACCAAAAAGTGTATCCTGATAGTTTGGAGTAGATAATAACTTGTGGAATACATCCATAGCATCTGCTCAACCAATTAAAAAAATAAATCCAAATTTCTAAAATGGGAATCTAATACATGGCACTAGGCTTATTTTTAGTTCAAAAATAGTTCATAAGTTTTCCAATAAAATGTGTGTGAACTGCACAGGATTTTATTTAGAAGAGCGCCTGGAAGGATGCATTTTGGTATACTTTGCTTTTATACTTTGCTCATAGTACTATTTTGAGAGTAGGCCAATGCTCTTCCCAGATTTCATGCTCGGGTTCTGATATATTCTCAGCTTTCTAAATATATCCATCATCCCAAACCCCTGATATAATTATCTTTTCTTATATTTTCTTATATTTCTACTGACATTCATATTTCGTTAATATAAATGCAGCTGAACTAAATGTCCAAGTTGCTGGCATTCTTTATTTTACTGAAATATTAAATCTTAGCAGTTGATAATTAAGCATAGTTATTTTTTAAATATAAATAAAAGGTGTCTGGATATTTCTGGTGCTTAAAACATCCATTTTTAAAAAGAGCTTTTGAATGTTTTTTTCCCCTAAAGAAGCTTTTTGAAATTCTTCCTGCAAAAGTACAAATATTAATTCATTTCCCTTCTTACCTATTTGGTCTCAAATTCAGTCTGCTTCCTCCTTCTGGAGAAAAGAACAGCTTGTATATTACTTGAAGTATGGTGTTTTGAAGATGCTATTTTGATTGTCAGTAGAAACCAATTTACAGGTTTAAAACGTTTAGAGTTGCCCTACTTTTTTGGCTTTCTAGTTGTGCTTCTGTTCTTGTGCTTGTGAAATGTGAATCTTCATCCTACAGCCAGATTTCTTGGCATTCTCCATGATATGGTTAAGCATTTTCATTACTTGTAAAACTTTTTTAGAGCTAGATTTTGATATTGTTAATCTTGCTGCTACATTTGAAAATCTAACTGGGTCATGTTAATTGTGCCTTTCATCAATGCGCTATGTGCCACGAGCTGCCCATGTACTATTTGAAATAAATATTTTTTAAAACTCTCTTCTGGCGTTTTAACTAGAAAAAAATGAAAAATTTTGCAGAAGGGCTGGAAGTATTTGTATTAGATAAATACCACTGGAATAACTTGTGTACGTAAAACTAACCTACAAAAATGATTTTTATATGCAATAGTTTACACACATATTTACATACACAGAGAGCATAATTCCAGCTGACATAGAATGGCTATCTTAGAATAGTTTTCTTTTTAATTTTCTGAGGTGGGATAACGATTAGGGAAAGAAGATGGGAAAGAAAATCATTATGACATAGTGCTTTCCCTGCAAAATCATCTTGTGAGATTATATGCAAATTTGATCAATAATTTTATTCAGTTTACTACCTCTCATTTTATTTCCCCCTCTTGCAAACTATTACATATGATTTATATATGCCATATTCTCCATGCCCTCCTAAGAACGTTGTCACATACCACCTCTACTGACTACTTAGTAGAGTTTATATATTAAAAGTACATGAATAGCAAAAAGTATGGACATTTTAGCAAGTCCAAGGGTAACGTAGTGCAATTTTAAACATCTCTTCACTTTCTATAAAATTTATCAGGCTTTTCAAAAACCTGGAGAATTTAGGGGCACAATGGTGTTATGCTTTTCCTGGTCCTCTAGAATTATGTAAATGTGTATGTGTTAGAAGCTGCCAGACTAACACAAGAATGGTTAGACTATTTTCCAGAATATATGATCACAAAGTGGGTTGGGTAGTGTTTCCCACCTTAAGCGATAGCTACGACCTAATGCTAAGCATGTTTTCATTTATTATTTGGAATGAGTAGCAGTAGAAGCACAGCTTCTTTGGGGCCAACATATTCACATGAAACGTTACTAAGTTTTTACCCACCTTTTTATATGGGTGGCAAGATGGCAAACATATCTAATACTGCTGCTGCATTTTTTTCACCACAACAACCACTTTATGTGGCAAGTGATTGAGGGAATAGGACTGGCCCAAAGTCACTCAGCTGGCTTTCATGCCCCAGGAAGGCCTAGAACTCAACCTCCCAATTTCTAGGCCAGCACCCATAAGTCTTCTAGAGTCTGGAATAGAATCTTTATAATATCTTTTTTCTTACAAAGAATATTTTAGAAAATTTTTTAAAACCACCATCCTATTTTTTTTCTCTTGTGTCTTGAATTTGGGGTGTATTTCTCCAGCTCTCACACATTTATGAGATAACAGCTGATTTTTTTTCTCGATTTTCCTGGAGTAGCCAAATTACAAAGAAATATTGTCTTTAAAACACACTAGGTGTCATGCCCCGTCTGAATCTGAAGACGACAAACAGCTGACAAGGAGCAGAAATGTGGCTCCATTGGCTATGGAGGAAACTGGGGAAG